CGGGACGGGACGAGACGGGGCGCTCGGCCGCCCCGCTGCGGGCGGCATCTCTTGTGCGGTTCTCCCGCCCCAGATCCCGGGCGTCTCTCTTGGGCGCTCGGACTTGGTAGGCTGCTTAAGGCACTGCCACGACTCGGAAGTCCTGAGGCACTCCTCTGTCCGCGGCAGAGGCGAAGGGGCTTTCCCATCCCTGAAGCGATCCGTGATGGTACCTGAGAGGTGGGGCTTCTTGCCCCGCTTGGGCACGAGAATTTGCCGGATCAATCCCCATGTCTCTTCAGGGTGGCCTGATCATGCTATTCTGGGTTTTTGGGAGGGAGGGGAGGAGCGGGAGTAGAAATGAAACTTGTGACTCACCCAGTTTATTCCTTTTTCCCGTTCAGGGTCTGGTGACTCTTCACCAGAGGTCATTATGTAGCCAAGACAGTGTTCAAGAACCTTCTAAACTGTTCATGACCTTTGTATCTATCTATTGTGCCTATAGCTTCAGGGGCTTTAAACACTTTTAAATTTGAGTCAAGGCTCATCTAATTCCCTTTTTTAGTATGTAAAATCCAAATTTGTCATATGTGACATATCTTTTGGGTGAGACATGACAAATAGTGGATAAGCCTTAAAGTAAGGATCCTTCCTTCTTCAGAGGTCAGATCCTGTGCTGTTCACCCCTTTCCCAGTTGTACAGCATGCCCTGCAATTCAAAGTTAACTATAATTGTGTTCTTAAGTATTTGATTTGTAATACTGTGTGAGAAAGGTTCCACTATATCAAGCAAAGCTAACTCTTGGGGGGTCTTTCAGTACTTGAGAGCTGGAAGGAAAACTCTTAGGTTATTTCTGGAACCCATGTCTGTTATGTGCTTACATGTTCCATGTATGTGGGTTAATGACATTGCAGGAGTTACTTTAAGGCATTTGTGTGGTGCATGTGTGCCTTGTCTTTAAAATGTTCACTGCATGCCTTTGTTCTTATTCCCCTGTATGTAACTAGGGAGAAGCTGTAGTTGAGCACAAGCAGAAAATTAATGCTCTTCTCTGATACAATTCACCTATATATGAAATGGAAAGCTGCTATCAGACAAACCAAAGAATAAAACCTGCAGATTCTAGACTCCTCGCTCCCTTCATGGGCTTATGTTCAGCATATCTTTCTGTTGCCTTGATGTATGCAGGTTCTACAGGAAGCTTAAAGTGCTATGAGAAACCATCAGAGCAAAAAGTGCTACTTGCAGATCTAGTTCAGGCTATGTACATTCATTGCATGATAGTGTGCTGTTGTGTAGTCGTATTTGGGTATTGGCCTTATGTGGTATTATCTTATGTGTTTCCTTGCTCCTTTTATGGGGAGAGCTGTTGGTATTTTCTCTGTGGGACTACACATCAGAAAATAACTGAGAGCAATGAAGATTTGTTGGATGGCAGCTGTCTGTTTCAGCGTGGGGTGGGCAATAATGAATTCTAAACTAGCATAAAGAGTTTTCTGCGGCAGGTAAATTCTGTGACCTACATGTTACAGCAACACTAGCTTTAGAGCAAGAGAAGCAGTGGGAGCCTTGCCTGGTTATCAGACATGGCATTAGAGATAATGAATTCCTGAGTTTTGGTGGAATAACTTGTGTGAGAACTGAGCTGAGGTTAGTGAAATATGCACCTTACCTCAAGCTTCCATACGTTTCCAAGGTTTGGACAACGAGTACTACAGAAGTTTCAGACTCATTGATGTTAATGTAAGATCTAATCTCATTAAACATATGAGGGGAAGGATTCTTTAAGCCTCCTATGTTAGTTTTAAGTGAGTTGGTGACTGAAAAACGGCTAGCTGGATTTTTCTTCATCCTGGCTCAACAGTTAAGTGTATTTCACCCAGAAAATAAACAATTAAGTAATCCAAGAGTAAGTAGCTCTTTAGTAATTCTGTAATGAACCGCTGTACCTCAGAATCTGTCTCATACGTGTGCCCTACTTACTGTTGCCTAAACAAACGAAAGTAGTTAGGAAACAAAGCTTGGATTTATAAGTTGTTACAATATAATGCAACTCTTGCATACAAGAATCTGAACATCCTAATCCCCTTGATCCATGGGGTTGATTACAGAAGGATTACTGGTTTCAGAGCGTCCTGATTAGATGAAGTGGTTATGAGAATGTTCTAACTCTGATACACTTCTTTCATAGGCTATCTGAGGTTCAGGACCTTAAAAATGGCGTTAGCAGCAATTGATCCACAGCAGGTATGTCTCAGTTAGTCCAGTAGTTCTTATATGTAGTTTAGAAAAACAGAGTCAACTAACCTATTTATCTTTAAACAGAACGTTGTATCGAGGGTTGTCAACCTTCCTTTGGTGAGCTCCACTTACGATATGGTGTCTGCAGCTTACATCACCACAAAGGATAACCATCCTTATTTGAAGTCGGTATGTGAGATAGCAGAGAAAGGAGTGAAGACAATTACTTCAGTAGCCATGACGAGTGCTATGCCTATCATCCAGAAGTTGGAACCACAAAGTAAGACAGAGCTGGGCTGCCTTTAATTCAACAGATTGCTTTACATATTCAGATGTGCCTATACATGCTTTGGTTTACCATAGGCGTGCTGGTCTAAGATACTGGGTCAGATAGCTGACTGAACATGTCTTGCTTGTTCAGTAACTGATTACAGATGAGTATGATTAAAAGAAAACAAAGAAAAGACAAAGCAGACTGCAGCTTTCTTAAGACTAAACTGACTGGCTCCTCTTGATTTGCAAGATGGCTTGGTTGCATAGTCTGTTGCTCAACACCTTTCTAACCTTTCACCTAGTTCTAAGTGCTGCTTTGTACTTTCTCTTACTTCAGAGAACAGCTTGTGATGAAAGCTGGCAACTATGTTGCAAGCCTGTTCTAACTAGGGAGCCTATGTTCACTAGGTGGCAGAAGGCCAGATACTTCGGCTTATTCTGAAGGTTGTTTGTGAGGTATCTGAAAGGACTTAGTCTCTGTTTGCTTGGTTATGGCTCTGGAAACCTGCCCTGTTGTAGGGCTATGCTACCTCAAACCTCACTGAAAAGAGGAAGAAACTACTTTAAGAACTTTACAGCACAAGCTCTGTTTCCACAGGAATTATCTGCATTTTACCTTAGTATAAATAACTGATAGATTAAAACACAATCACTCTTGTTTCTCTTCTAGTTGTAGTTGCCAACAACTATGCATGTATAGGTCTAGACAAAATTGAAGAGAGACTGCCAATACTGAATCAACCCACTGACAAGGTAAGACCTCTGTAATATCACAGAATCACAGAATGGTTGAGGTTGAAAGCAACCTCTGGAGATCTAGTTCAACCTCCCTGCTCCAGCAGGGCCACCTACAGCATGTTACCCAGGAATGTGTCCAGATGGCTTTAGAAGATCTCCAGGGAAGGAGACTCCACTACCTCTCTGGACAACCTGTTCCAGTGCTCAGTCACCCTCACAGGAAAGAATTTTTTCCTTGTGTTCAGGTGGAACTTCCTGTGTTTCAGTTTGTGCCCGTGGCCTCTTGCCCTGTCCCTGGGCACCACAGAGAAGAGTCTGGCCCCATCGTCTTGACACTTTCCCTTCAGATACTTATACAATTTGGTAACTTATAGACATTGAGGAGATGCTTCAGTCCCTTCATATTAGTAGCCCTTTGCTGGACTTGCTCCAGTAGCCTTGTAGTGGGGAGCCCAGAACTGGACACAGTATTCCAGATGTGGCCTCACCAGGGCGGAGTACAGAAGAAGGATCACCTCCCTTAACCTGCTGGCTGTTGGCCTTCTTGAGCATGAGGCAGCAATGTGCCCTTGTGGCTGACTTGTCCACCAGGACTCCCAGGTCCTTCTCTGCAGAGGTGCTTTCCAGCAGGTCAACCCCCAGCCTGTCCTGGTGCATGGGGTTATTTCTCTCCAGGGGCAGGACCCTGCCCTTGCCTTTGACCTTCATAAGGCTCCTCTCTGGCTATCCCTCTGGCCTGTTGAGGTCCTTCTGAATGGCAGCAAAGCCTTCCGGTCTATCAGACACTCCTCCCAATTTTCTGTCATCAGCAAACTTGCTGAGGAGGCCCTCTGTCCCTTCACCCACGTCACTGATGAGTAAGTTAAACAAGACTGGACCAAGTATTGACTCCTGGGAGACACTACAAGCTACAGGCCTCCAACTAGACTCTATTACAACCCTCTGAGCCCTGCCATTCAGCCAATTCTCTATCCACCTCACTGCCCACTCATCCAGCCCATACTTCCTGAGCTTGCCTAGGAGGATGTGATGGGAGACAGTGTCAAAAGCCTTGCTGAAGTCCAGGGAGACAACATCCACTGCTCTCCCCTCATCTACCCAGCCAGTCATCCCATCATAGAAGGCTATCAGGTTGGTCAAGCATGCTTTCCCTTTGGTGAACCGTGCTGACTGCTCCTGATCACTTTCTTGTCCTCCACATGCTTAGAGATGACCTCCAGGATGAGCTGTCCATCACCTTTGCAGAGAGAATATGCATATGAAAGTAGAACTAGACATTCCTTTCCATTATCACTAAAATGTGGGAGTGGGGTTGAAGTGGGAAGAAGATTTAGTTAACAAAGACTAAAGCACAGCAGAAAAGCAAGAAGTTTTTGATGTTTGCAAGGTCATTAAGAATCAGTTTCTTAGCAGCGTACCACTTGCGATATCTATTACTGTTGTTTACTAGTATTCGTCTTTCAAGATCTGGGTCCTTTCCATTTTTTCCTGCTCAGTGTGGAGCAGACAGTGTTTAAAGTACACTCCCTAAAGAGTTTTGAGCTGAAGATTACAGGACAGTCTTTTGCTCTGTCCATATGTCTTCAGTGCAGAGTCCTCCTAAATATCTGACTTGACAAGCTTTAGCATAAACTTGTTTCCTGTATTATGTAGCTCTTGCATAGCAAATATGAAAGTGAATCAACTTATTTTCTGTGGCAGGTTGTTGCCAATGCCAAGGATGTAGTTGTTGGAGCCCGGGAAGCTGTAACAACCACTGTGACTGGTGCCAAGGAAACTGTTGCCCACAAAATCACTGGAGTTGTGGGCAAGACTAAAGAAGCGATGCAAGACAGTGTAGAAATGACCAAGTCAGTTGTCAATGGCAGCATTAACACTGTCCTGGGAAGTCGTGTGATGCAAATGGTTAGCAGTGGAGTGGACAGTGCACTCACTAAATCGGAGACTCTTGTAGACCAGTATCTCCCACTTACAGAAGAGGAGCTAGGTAAGAATAACTCAAGGCTTGATCTTGTTGGAATTGGTATTGGAGTGAGCAGGCAATCCTTATTAGTTGATTGTAGTGGGGAGGGACAGCAGCTAACACTATCTTCCCAAAGTAACTTCTGCCTTGCTGGTTATAAGAGCCTTTTCCTGGGAGGGAAGCAGAATGGAAGAAAGTAAGGAATTCAACATGCAGTGGATTCTCAGCCTACCAGGTGCTAAAGAAGTCCAGCATTTAGCCATTACTAAGCAACTGAAGTTGTCTCAGACCTCCAAGTTTCCTTCTACTGGTCTATATTTATCCTTCTTTCTGTGTGTCTAGAGCAAGAAGCTGCAAAAGTTGAAGGATTTGAAATTGGAGTTCAAAAGCCAAGTTACTATGTTAGACTAGGATCTCTGTCTTCAAAGGTTCGTGCACGTGCCTACCAACAAGCCTTAAACAAAGTTAGAGATGCTAAGCAGAAAAGCCAGGAGACAATCTCTCAGCTCAACCACACTGTTAATCTGGTAAGTTTAAACTTTTACTTGAAGTATAGAAAGGAGATTTTAGCTTGGTCCACTGTATTTAAAAAAAAACAGCCGAAAGTGGCATGGGATAACTCGGATTGTTCTCTCAGATAAAATGCAGTGTTTTTAAGTATAAAGCATATCCCTTTCAAAGCTTTTCATCACCCTTTTGGGAAACTACTCAGTCCAGCTGAGCTATAAACTAACCAACTGGCCTGTAATTTTTAAGCACTGCAAAAGTAACATGCTTTTAAAGACGTCCCTCTTCTAGAGAGCTGGCTTTGATAAAGAATACCTACAGGCCTCATTCAGTGAGGAAAGCTTCTTGCAATTTGGGAACACTACAGTTTACTAACAGAAAGCACTAAAGTATTGCTTATGTTCTTGCTCTGCTTTTTGCTATGGGGTATCTCTGAGCACTCTTGCGTTCTTCAGTAGTCTGATCCTAGCAATGTCTCCTTATGTACAGGAGAAACACTACATGAAGAGTCCTGGCCCTCGACAATTTTAATTCCTTGTGCAGGAGGTTAATGGGGAAGGGAGAAATATAAACTTGAATTTAGAGATATTTGAGACAGAAGGGTAAACCGTTTCTAGTTCTTGCTTTTCTTTGAAGAGCAGGAATACGTTCTTATAGCCCCCAAGGCCTTTTGTCTTAACCTTTTTTTTTTTTTTTAATACTTAAAGCTTACAAGGTAGGTAAAGCAGGGTAGCCCTAATAGAACTGCTTAGATTCTTTGCTTCACTTCCTTGTTTGGCTGTATTTCAGATCGAGTATGCCAGAAAGAACATGAATAGTGCCAATCAGAAACTTCTTGATGCTCAGGAAAAGCTATATCAATCCTGGGTAGAATGGAAGAAAAATACAGGCCAAAATGATGGTGATGAATCGCATAGTGCTGAGGTAAATAGATGTAAATGCATACCGGAAGTAAATGGATTATGTACTGTCAAGGTAATCTCTGAGAACTCATTGTCCAAAAGGTACACAGCATCTTAACAGCACAGTGTGTTCCGTGTAGAAACATGGAATCAATGTTAAAGTTTAGGGCAGCTGCCAGTGACAGCTATGAAACTCGGAGGATGCCCATCCTGTTAAGTGAGACTGTTTACTGCAAACACTGTGGTTCATTCTCCCTTCAGGAGAAACCTCATCCTGCTTAGCCTGCAAACATGTTGGGATACCCAAATCTAGATCAGCCAGGATTCACTCGTTAGAGATGGCCGGACCAGAAATACCGATTTGTTGGTATAAAGCAGTCTGAGGCACAGACTTGCTGAGGATTATGTGTATAGCTTTAAACAATGGGTCTTTGACTGGAATAAACTTACCTGCTGTGACTTCTTATCCAGAGCTGAAACAGCAGCTTGCTAATCTATTGCTGGGGAGAAGCTACTGGTGTTTCTGCTCCACAAAGTGCTTGAACACTGAAGAAATACCAAGTACTTTCAAGTTCTGTCTCTGACTCTTAAGCCTTGTTAATTATTATCTGCCATAGCTTTATTTTGCCTACATTCCTTTCCTTTATGTTGAAGATGTATCAAGGAGTAAAGCTACTACGGTAATGTCAAGATACTGATGTGCTGTTATGCTTTGTTTCCAGCACATTGAGTCAAGAACTCTAGCTATTGCACGGAGCCTCACTCAGCAGCTTCAGACCACCTGCCTCACACTGGTCTCAAGCATACAAGGGCTTCCACAGAATGTGCAGGACCAGGTTTATAGTGTTGGGTCAATGGCAGGTGAGGTCTACCAGAGCTTTCGGTCAGCATCTTCCTTCCAAGAGCTGTCAGACAGTTTCCTTACGACAAGCAAAGGACAGCTGAAGAAAATGAAGGAGTCTCTGGACGATGTGATGGATTATCTTGTTAACAACACACCGCTTAACTGGCTGGTAGGTCCCTTTTACCCACAATTGGCTGATGTTCAGCATACTGAGAGCGAAGGTGAAGGGGAGAGAAATTCCAGCCAGGAAGACAAACAGCCTGAACACACTACTGAATAAATTGCATAGCATACATGTACTCTGCAGACTGACCAAACAAGTGACTCTAACAACTGTAGCTGTCAAATGCCTTGGAACAAAATCTGTGCGTGGTGGTGGGGAGGAATGATAAAAAGAAAGAATACAGCTCACTTCCAGGAGACTGTCCTGTCTAGTAAAGCCTCTCTAAAAACACTGTTTTGAAGTGCCTAAACAGCAGCAGCTTACAGTTGTCAAGATGCCTTGTTTGCCTGTCAAGTTAAGAAACCTCATCATGCTTATTAAATACCATTTCTCTAAATAAAATCTACCATGGCTAAAATCACTTGGTTTGCTGCTTAATCTGAATCAGAATAATACAAAAGCCTTGCGTGCTTTAACATGCATTTAAAAGCCCTGCAGTTCAGCTTGGTGCACTTGAATTCCATGCCTGCTGCAGATCAAGCATTTTATTATGGGTACGACTGTGCAGCTGTCTCAGATTTGTATTACCTTGTGATTCATGAAAAATAAGTTCTGCCAGTGCAGAATTCCAAAGCTGAAAGTGGGGTTTCTTGAGTGCGTCAGCCAGAGTTACTTAAATGCTGTGACAGTGCTGATATTAACTATATAAACTTTCTATTGTATTACACAGTAACCTGACCAAATCATTATCAAAGCTCACTTTTTTAATATGCGGTATAAAAACAAGATTCATGCTGTTTGTACCAGGGTGTCTACTTTTTTTTTTTGTAGCGATCTCTTGTAATTCCATTTGTATGTTAGTAATAAATGCTTCAGCTGCCAAAGTCTGTCTCCGTTTGAGTGATGTCTAAAACAAATGTAACTTGCTGTTCTGGAACTGCTGCAAACTGAGTCCAGGAGGCAGCAAGCTTGAAATGCAAATGAAGTAGACATTGAAAGTGTGTGCATGTGTGTGTATCAATAGAGCAGATGCTGCTGCATTTTTCTTTCATCCCTTTTGAGTTCCTATGTATCCTTCTGCTCAGTCTTAGCTTTACTGTTGCTTTTTGGTGCTTACTGTTACCTGCTGATCTAGGCTGTGAGTTGATGGATGTTCTAACAGTGACTAGAGAAGAATATGGATTTAAAAAAAAAATCTCCTGCCTTCAGAGTAGGTGTTCTGTGTGTGAGCATCAGCCGTCTTATCTCCTTGGAGCGAGCGGGGGGCGGGGGGGGGGGGGGCGGGGGGGAAGCTTTAATCTGTGTAACTTTACCCTCTTTTGAGCTTGAGTGTCTAATGTGCATTAACACTTGGCTACTTGGGTGAAATAGTTCCTGAGTAAATCCTAATACCTCTTCTGGAAGAGAATTACAGTTGCTCAGAAATAAGCTTTTCTTCATTTAGGACTGTCCAGGTAAGTAGTATATGGGGCTTGTAAAGCAGGTCCCATGCTCCTGTGAATTGCAAATATTTAGTGTAGCCTCCACTTTCAAAGAGGCCACAAATAGCGTCAGGCAAAAATGGAGTTTAAAACAATGTTTATCACCTAGTCAAGAATAGGTGACACATTGCTACGTGGAATACTACCTCCACTTGGCATGGGTGTATGCAGTAAAGTAAATTATATACAGCCTAGCCTTCTAACCTGTAAGGGCTTGACTGTTAAGTCAGGATTCAACTAAGTGTTAGGAAGATGCTGTGTTACTGAGTTTAAAGACAATATTAAGCCAAATCCAGGCGCTGAAGGATTACGGACCAAGATTTTGAAATTTCCAACTTTAAATACTTGCTTTTGAAAGGTGGTTGTTTAACTCGAAAGTAACATGAGATAGTGATACTGTTCCCAGTGTTAGGTCATGAGTTAAGATTTCTGGAATTTTTCCATCTAGAATTTGTCTGTCCAGTGTCAGACTATCCTTTTTGACCTGCATTTGAAACAACGTTTGAAGAGTACATCTACTGTTGTGGCGGAGCCTGGGATCAGAATGGAGCTAATGGTGTCTGGGGACAGCTGATAGCTCAGTGAAGGGAATTCTCATGTTTATGCAATCAAGATATTCAAGCTGCTTACTACTGAGGGCCTAGAAACAAACAGCAGCATCCAATTTTAATACAAAAGCAATTTATATTTCTGCTGTACCTTAAGTGGTACAACTGCTTACCACTATCTTTGTTAGATGCCTATCAAATTTTACTAAATATCACCAAGCAGATGAAGCAGAAATCTAGGAGAAATGTTACTGGTCTAGTCTTGCAAATTCTTACAGTAATGCATGGTGAGATAGAGTGTGGCTTATGTAAAAATGACTTTGACTTTTGACAGCTGACCTGCAATTGGCAGCCAGGAATAAAGGAATATCTCATTAAGTGCCTTCGTAGTGTTTGGGCCAAACAGCAAAATTCTGTACACAAATTCTTGATCGTGGTGTTATTTTCTTCTTTCAGGAAGCAGATGAACAGAAAAAAAAAAAAAGTTAGGAATTAGGAACTCCTCCTTGGAGGAGGAGTTATTAAGTTGTATCTTTATTAAGATTCTATAGCATTCAAAAATGATTGTTTCTCTTTAAGAGATCACTCAAAATCATTCACACTATTGATCTGATATCACTGCTGATAAACTTCTGTTACAAGTCAATATACTTAAATTTTTGGTAAATAGCTCTACCTAGTATAACATATTCATAGCAGACTAAGCACTGGTGAAATCCAAATTACATCTTACATCAATTTTATGTAAGAACTTTATGTTTCAAAGTTATAAAAAGACTGTACAATAGAACACCACAATAAAAATAAGTGCAGTTTAGGTTAGTACTAAAATGACATTACAAAGCACCTCTGTCATTTCTTAGTACTTACAGAAGATGGCAAGGATATATAGTTTATACAAATCTCTCAATAAGGACTGGAATTCAGCAGGGATACAGCTAGTCTTCAAACTAAAACAAGGTGGTAAGCTTTTGAAACCTTTCCCATTCTTTACTATGATGATATTTTTATTAATGCCTTCCCCAATTTGCAACTTATGGTAATACTATACAATTAGTAAAACAGTTAAAAGGATTTGGAAATCCTTTGGATCCTATGGATCACTTCTATGTCTTAGATAGCTTTTTAGTAACAAACAAACAAAAAAAAAAACAAAATAAAAAACCTGTCTGAACCATCTAATTAAAAAGAGAAAACATAATCTGACTTTGATTTTCCAGCATTGTCTGTTGGCCGTTTGCATGATCAGCAAGCCTTGCTTGCAACATCTCGCTGGCCATTGTGCATGATGTTTTGTTAAATGTATTTCTTTTTGTACTGAGATTGAAATTTGATTTATTTTGGATAATACAGTCTGACAACTAAAAATAAAAATGAATGCTTCTAAAACTACCAGATAAGGCGTATCTTAAGGTGTTTGCTAGTGGCTCAGCTCTGAAAGTGTCTTAAGCAAGAAAAAAATAGATACGTTAAAGCTACATTAGTATTGACATTTAAATTTGGATGTTGAGACATGCAAAATCCAGCAAAATGTTGGACTATTGCATAAAGTAATCAGAGGATCTGACTGCTTCTTATGGAGGAAGTACGGGAAGAAGAGTCATATCTGGCCTTACTCTTTGTTATGAGAATTGACTTACTGCTTTGTTTCATCTTCCCGTCAACTATGAAATGAGATTACAACTAAACACAAAGGTGATATGGAAGTGAAGTTGCCTTACCTATGTAACCCATAGCGCCAGGGCCAAAATTCCTTTTACAGCTATGGACGTTTTACAGTTCTGTAGAGGAGTTCAGCTGCACGTAGTGTGTATGCTAAGGAGATCGAAGAAAGCCGAAACTTCAAACTGAAGAGGCTGATTGATTATCCTATTCCCAACAGGAACAGCTTGGAGATGAGTAATTAAAGTACCTTAAACCTAGGCTATAGCAAAAATTATCACTGGTCAGACACTTACTGAGTGTGGTCATACGCCTTGTTCAGTATAATTACAGAATAAAATAGGTTGGCTAAGTCATCTATTTGGGCACATTTTTAAATTTAATTTGCATATGGACTCTAAATTCCACATGATCTATCCTGTCATAGCCCTGTTAAGATATCCCCATTTGTACTGCAGTATGAAATACAGAGTCATGTCTGGTATAATGAGAAAACATATTTTTATCTCTAAGTCTATTAATTAGAAAGATACAAGAATAGTTCTTGCTGGTAGAAAGATGTGGTTTTCCCCATTTGTAGTATCTTTTGATTTTTAGGAGACCAAGATAACTGATCTTGTTTTGAGCAAGTTCATGCTCTGAGTGGACTGGACATTTCCCTGAACTCATACTTGTGCCTGATACGTGACATGCTCTTAAAATATTAATTAATTAAAATAAAACAGAGATTCAAAAGAATTTAAATTAGTATTTCTAAGTCACTGATGTCCTATATTCACCTCATCTCTGAGGAACTGAGTAACTTATCTTCAGTGCTGGGTATCTATAACCTGATAGTGGCAACATTCTGTGTTCTTCTGATATGTCTTCATAGCAGGCAAAAGCATAGATTTCCAAATGTCCTTAGTGAAAGTCAGACATAAGTGAGGTTTTTTGCAGTTTGGGAATGGACTAAAACTACTTCTCCAGTCAATGCTGAGCTTCAGTTAAAAAAAAGCCCAGATGCCTCTTCAAGTTGCTCCATCTTCACACGTGCATAACCCAAAGCCCTGTCAACGCACAGCCATTACTAAATGCTGGTGCTATGTCTAAATCCAGGTATTCCTCACATCGCCAGTAATAAAGCCAACCATGAATCAAACTATATATATATGTATTTTCACTTGGGGAAAACTTCTAATTGTGCCTAAATTACTTAGGCACTTCTGAAAAATCAGATATAAGTAAATTAAGCCCCGCTAATAGTACTTAAGGGCTGGGACTTAAGACCCTAAGTGTCTTAGCCAACATTTTTAGAGGTGTATAACATCCATGTGCCCACTAACGTCTCTGACAATTCCTGTTGAATAGTGGTTAACTGTTTAACCTAGTTTAATAGTACAGAATAATACTATACATCCAGTTGAAAAAAAGCCAAAGCAGTTTTGCAGTTCCAGATATTTGTTTTCTCAGGAAAGGTTTGATTTGGTAGACTAGCAGAGCAGTATAGAGCAGTCTGTATCATGCTCATCTAGGCAGGCTCCTGTATGTAACCCATTGTGCCCAGGGAAAGAAGAAAGGCAAAAAAACAAGTTTAAAAACTTAGTTTCTTAATTTTCTAACGACCTGTTTCAAGAAATACAGTCAACTGAGTTCAACCCTGTTCCACCTCTACTATAAAATCCTATCTCCTGAACAACTGATTTATGTCTTGCTTGAAGTTTTGTCTATCTTAAAAAATGTTTAATGTGTGACTAGCATATTTCAATCTGTGTTCAGTGTTTAGGGTCTGACTCCTAGAGACGTTGAGCACCTTCACCTCCTTTTGGTTTCAGTCACAACTACTGAACAAATTTATTTAGTTCTGCTGTGGAATTGATTCAAATTTCCTTCCTACGCAGGTTCCAGATTTCACTATTACAGACTTGTCTTCAGAGTCAGATGATATCCCAGACATTTTGGATTTGGATGAAGAAGATCAACAAGACTTTTCACGCACAAATGGCCCTTTCACTGCAGGGCAAAGAGTTGAATAAAAAAAAGGCATAAAAATGTCTTTTTGATCCCAGTGTATTTTAACCGTTTAACTTATATAAAGATGAATCTACCTAGCTTTGGGTTTTTGTTTTCCAGATTGGGTTTTTTTGTTTGTTTGTTTTTGAATCAGTACTGTTTCACTTAGCTTCATCAAAAATCTGCTTTTTTCCCCCTGAGGAATGCATGCTAGGTTAATTCAATAGCATGGGTGTCAAGCTCCTATCCTGCAAGCCAGATAAAGCCTAATCAATGTATCCCACTGATCTAATCTTTGCTAATGATTTGTATCAATATTTGTTCTCCTGTTGGCAGTAGCCAAGAAAACATGGCAGTGCTTTGCACAAAGGGCTGCCAACAAAAGCAGTTGACTAGAACTTGGCTGGCAAAATTTCCCCTTTCAGCCTGCACATAAAGTGCTTCTGCATCAACCTCTGCTGCTGGAAGGGGCAACAGACTTTGGCTGGCTCAGATTCTCCCAGGTGACTCTTGCTGGGCTCCGAATCTGGCAAGAGTGCTTTACGTGTGAAAGGGCTCTGTTTCCTTCTGCGTGCCTCCTGCGTGCAAGGCCCACTTGATGCTATCGGTTGTGGGGCCTGAGACTAGAAGAAATAATTAAAGAAGAAAGTCTTACAGGGTTAAGGAAGACAGCTGAGAAAAAAGGGGGAAGACACTGGAAAGAGCAAGGAAAAAAAGAGAAGGAAAAGGAGGGAGACAAACAGATGTGGGACAAAAGCACATTCAAAGAGGGAATAATGGAGAAGAGTGTGAAAGTGCTAGTTTTCCTGGTGACAGTGAACGTCTTTGGAAACATCGGAATTAAATAATTGCTCAGAAATGCTGAATTTGCATTTGCTTGCACACAGGATGATTTTCAGTAGGAGTTTTGGGTACCTAGGAACTCAATGAGCAGCCAGCTGGTTGTGTTTCTATGCAAGGGTCCTGTTGAACTCCCTATGCAGAAATCTCATTGATGTTACTGGAGTGGCTGGGGGAGGTGTGGAGAAGTTACGTGGTGCTACTTTTGCGCACCAGCTGATTCTGCACAGAAACATTCTTTGGAGCAATGCAGTTGTGAGGTTGGCACCCCTGCTCTCTAATAATATAATTCTAATAATATGATGCTTGACTGTTGTGAAAACTTTAAGGTCTAGTCATTGAACATGCCTTGAAATAAAAAGTGTGAATTATACAAGCTTTTGCTGGTGTGGGTTTTTCCTTTTCTTTTGCATTAACATTTGTGATTGGATTATAAAATAATTTAAGTTGGAAGGGCCAGTGGGAGGTCATCTAGTCCAAACTGCTGCTGAAAGCAAGGCTAATAGTAGGTCAGATCGTTGAGGGCCTTCTCCAGTCACCTTCTGAGCATCCTGAAGGGCAGGTGTTTGCCAGCCTCTCTGGTCAGCGGG